CCAAAGTGACCCAAATACCCCCCCCCCCCCCCCGCCCCCAGGTCTCAGGCCCTGGTGCAGCCACACAGGTTGCACTGGTGGTAGCTCCGCCCCTGCTGGAGATGCCCATAGAATGTTCTTACACAATTTTTATCAGCTCTGTGAATATGCAGATTCTTATGACGCCGCTCTAGCTAAGCCTGCTGTCTGAAAATATCATCAAAAAACAACTGTAGTATGTATTCCTATTACAATGCTGATGTTATTACAGGAAAGTATTTGCTATGACTTTAGAACTCCTTTAATTTCTACCCTGAGAAAATGTCAACACCATTATGTCTCTTTTTCTCCTGCCTGTTTATTTTCACAACATGAACTTATATATTTAGCTATCAAAAGAGTATATGTTCATGGAATAACTGTTCAAAAAATGATCAGCTGTGGTTGGATTGTAATTGCACACACCACATACATCCAAACTACCAATAGAAAGACCACTTGCCAGGTAACCCAATTCTACCCATTCTAAATAAAGGCTCTGCAACATGTATTCAAAGTATAGTGCTATCATTTTCTATTTATTTGTGATGTTATTCTATGTCTTTGTATTCATGGTAGTTGCTTCTTTAGAAAAGTGTCCTTTTTCTAAAGAAGCAACTACCATGAATACAAAGACATAGATTTTGCTCTAAAAGTTTATACAAAGCCTGTGTTTTGCTTTATGGTCATAAAATGTCTGCAATAAAGTAAATGTCACTTGTAGTGGCTTTTTTAGCCCACTTGGTTATAGACTTGGCACTATATAATATTTTTTTAATCTCAAATTCTATTTTATTTAATTTCAATTAATTATTTTAAGTTTTTGTATATGTCAAATCAAGGTAGTTTATATATTTAAATATTTTATAGTTTTGTGTTTCTGCCTTCAGAATAGCAGTTCATATTGTATCAGCTCAAGAAGTTGTAACAGCCAGTGTATATTGTGTACTAGCAGGATTGTAATGTAGAAGGATTTGACAATGTTTTGGCACACTAAGACAACTGTTACTATGCTATAAACTTGAACGGCATCTCTTAACTTCACTGGGGAATGTGTGACTCTAGTACGGCTTTAAAGAACCTTTAACTTTGGGCAATTACAAGTGTGTCGGGACACAGCATTGTGTTGTGCAATTTGCCTGCCCATCCCTGGCCCCGTATTTTGTTTTACCATCTAGTTTTCCTTTCATAGGGAAGGAGCGGCACAAGCTGCATTAAAATAAAGAGAGCGCTCAATCAAAAAAGACTCTCTTAAGGCAGGCTTCTCTTGTTAATATGCACAGACATAAAAAGGAAGGCTCTTTCTTCCTATACAGCTACAGTGTGTGCAAATTGCAGGGGGCTTATTGGCATAAATCTCTGTAGCAACTTCTAGGGTAAACTGGATTTACATTACTTTCTGACAAGAATTAAATGGAGGCCTTGTGGATATATGAAGAGATTTTTAGACTGCAACAGATGGGCCTGAATGTGTTCCCTAGGCACACTATCAGTGACATCTGTGTCCTCTGAATTCTGGTGGTCCTAGCCAATTAAAACGGTAAAAGAATAAGCAAGCAGGCTCCTGAAGAGCCAAAATGCCAGTGTTTAGAGCTGCCAGTAACCCTAAGCTGAGAACGTGTTAGAATGATAATGGCACATTTGTGGGTTTGTTTAATATTATTATTTTTAGCTTTACTGACTTCTGCTAGGACGTAATATAAAAGAATGAGGCAACTGGCCCTAGTATAATCACAAAATCCTTTTTACAGGGTGTTTTCTTTAGCCATGAAATCTATATGAACACTGTTCACACTCTCCAAATAAACACATTAATGCTCAAAGATTATATATATGTATTTATATACACTGTGTATATATACATACAGTATTGCGTTGGCCATACACATTAAAATAAAAGTCAGTCATGCAGGCATAATCCACACTCCCACAGGTGTCTGTGTCAGCTAGAGTTTTCCTAAGCCTATGGAGCTGGGTGGAGGAATTTACACTTCGTGCATTTCCAGTTCTGACTTATTGGTAGGAAACAAATAACAAAACTGTCTCATCATAATTTGCTAACAATGAGTGTGACTGATGCTGCGATTGCCCAAGCCAACCAAAAGCAGCTCGATTGACAGACAGTCATCCAATGTCTATGGGCATCTTTAGTGCCCATTCACACTGGGCGTTTAATTGCGCGATTTCCGCCACGATATCGCGCATATATGCTGCGCAATATCGCAAGAGGTCGTGGTTCAATGATTTTCAATTCTATTTTCGTTCTATTGTACAGCTCCATGACGCCGGCCGCTGTCAGGACCCTTTTTCCTGCGGATGTCGCACGATTTTTCAATGCAGCCCAACGGTGAAGGTTGCGTGATCGTCGCCGGAACGTCGCCCGAACAGTCGCGCTATCCTGCTGCACGGAAATCCGCTCAATGTAAGTGTCGCTTGGTGTGAATGAGGCCTTAGTCAAATAAAAAGTATAATAATAATAAAAAAGCAGTAAACAAAAACTGGAAAAAAAAAAGGAGTTCCAAAGTCCTATCCCTTTTTCAGTTTGGCACACAACGATGGTGAGGTTCCAAATACAGTCTCCAATTACAGCCTCCTACATTTCAGTCCTTGCATAGCTAATCTTTAAAGTGACACTAAACTCAGGAGTTAAATGTTAGAGATGCATTTACGTACCTTAACTATTAAGGAAAATGTATCTTATTTGTGTATCACTCGGCTATAGATACTTAAACCATCTCTGAATTGCTGCTGACATTGTCCTTCCTTCTGGAGGGTGGCTACTTTTGATCTCCATGGTCCCTGTGTGTGTTGTAAAATAGCCACCACTCCAAGATAGCTCCTGTGATGGTATAGAATCTTTTGTTTAGTTTACTTATTTGTATTGAGATTGTAGTTGTGTGGCTAGTAAGGATGCAACGATACAGTTTTTTAGGTATCGAGTACCACATTTTTTTTTAGGTACTCACCGATTCCGGAAGTCCCATTAAGGAAGCCGGCCAGCATGTAATGACCTGATATCCAGCTTCCTGATTAGCCGGGAAGCCGGGTCCATGCTCCCTCATCACCTGGTGATGAGAAAGCATGGAGCTGGCTTTCTGGCCAATCAGGAAGCCGCGAGGCGGGAAATGACTCACCCCCGACTTCCTGATTGGTCAGCTTCCCGACCCGACCAGGAAGCCGGGAGGCGAGTCATTGCCCGCCCCCTGACTTCCTGATTGGCCAGGAAGCCAAATCCATGCTCC